ATGTCCAAGGGACTTTCTAATTATTTATCATCACTCAAAGAAGTACAATCATAATATTGAAACAGGAAAGCTTTTGTGTAGTGATTTCAATGTTTTTATTATAATCTCTTAAAATAAATATATATATATATATATATATATATATATATATATATATATATAGCAAGAATAAAAGTTAAAGCTTAAAATATAAAATAAACTGAGGGCTCAATGCCAAAGGTGACAGAGCCTAAATATAATAATATTATCAATACCAAAGTATATTAGTTCCATAGTTCTGCCTGATTTTATTACCTGCAACTCTGAGTAGTGGATTTTGGTATTGATAATGTTATTATATATATATATATATATATATATAAACCTTCTCCTCTTCCTCCTTAGTGCTATTATACTCTTCCTGAGTACTGGAAGGTGCGTGTATCCTTTATGCTCTGTTGACATATCTCTGGCATTAATGTTTTACTTATGTCTTTGAGCAGAACATAAATAAGCATTAAATAATCAACTTTCAGGATTTATATTAACATTTTTCCTGTTAACATGATGAATGAAATTATGATATCCTCTTTCTTCTATTAGATTGCTCTCTTTTAATCTTCTCAGAGAACCTTTTTGCCTTACAACAGCATGGCTGATGCTAACCTCCAGGAGAGTAATTCCTTGCATCTTCTCAGGCTAACATTTTCCACTAACATTAAGTAGAAAGATTATATTGAATCAGTTGCTAGGTCTGCTGCCAGGAAAGTGGGTTCACTGTGTCATGCTAAACAGTTTTTCTTATCAGAATCTATCTTACATATTTATAAGTCTACCATTTGTCTGCGCATTGAATATTGCTACCACATATTGTCCAGTGCTCCTGCTGAATATTTAGAGATTCTTGATAAAATCCAAAGAAGAATATGCAATGTTATTGGTCCTGACCTGGCATCTCAATTTCAGTCACTTTTTCAATGCTGTAACATAGCATCCCTGTGCCTTTTCTATAAATATTTTCATAGTAATTATTCAGATAAACTCTCCTCTATGCTGACCTGGGTATGACGATAAACTACATCCACGTCCTGGGTAAGACAATAACCTACGTCCAACAGCAAGGCCTCTGATCAGGAGGTTTTAAGGAGTATGGAACCACCACTTAATTGCTGGTGTTCCCAGGTCCACCTTTACCTGAGGTGGTAGCAACTGTTAGGGTCCCAGCTATGGGTAAATAGTTAACTACCAAATTGTGGTCAAAACACTATAAAAGTGTAAAAATAGGTTTTAATACATGAAATACTTTGTAAAAACTTATTACCAGCAATACATTTTTGAAAAGAAAAAAATTACCAGCTATACATTTAAAAAAAAAAAAAAAAAAAAATTACCAGCTATACATTTTTGAAAAAAAATTACCAGCAATAAAAAATCTTGTCACTGCCATAAAACAAACCAAATTGAACCAAATCTTTCCTCTATGATTCCTCAACTTTATGAATTTAAGTGCAGTACTTAATTGGCAGCTAGGTCTCATTATTTTACAGTTGAAATGGCTAAATGTAACCAGAATTTCTATGCTAACATTTAGAAAATTTTCAAAATTATGGGATTTGACATAGATATAAAAACTAATCTAAAAGATGTAGATTTTCTAGATGTCACCTTCAACCTAAGAAAACCTAATGTCAAACCACTGTGTATACACACATCTCCCAGCCAACAATAATCAAACAGATTCTATTGTCAATTAATTGCAGGTAAAAAACTACATTGGGATTCACAATTATTTCCACCCAATAGCCCCTAGAATAATTTGCAACATAACCCTTACTGCCCACTAAAATAACCATTAGAACAATACAATAGACTACCCACAATGCATCACTGACCTGTATATATAAATAGCCAAGCCAAAACACAATGCACATGGACTGACAATTGCATATAAGCTTGAAACAGACTGTCCACTTTTAAATTTACATATGCTCTATCCCTGATAGTGAGCACTTTCACCCATAGAGTATACTTTAAAACTGTATTTTATCATATATGCATATATATTGTATCAATATAAATGTACATAGTAATATAAGAGCTTTTATATCTTTCAGCCCACATGCGAAAACATACTTATATTCTTTCATACATCCATTTAATTAAGAAAATGTATGAATTATGCCTTTGCACACTATCATATCTGATTTTTTTCTACGGTTAGAGATAAACATTTGTAATTACACAAGATTATATTCAAGATGGCTTCCTGTCATGGTTTGCTGGCATAGTTTGGCAAGTGGGCAGGCAGCCAACACTGCCAGAAATTGAGCCATCATTAGGCAGACAGGTGCAAATATATTGGATATCTGATCTAAGTTTTTGATGATGCTATAAGTCTTACATCTGAACTTCTTTAATATAAAAATGATCTTGGTTTTCTGGAAAGGGAGGTACTTCCTGGACACCAATCTGGTTCATCTGGTAAAGAAGAGTACTACTTTCACTTTGATCTGGCTCATCTGGTAAAGAGGGTACTTCGTTCACTTTGATCTAGCTATTCTGGAATGAAGGGTACTTCCTTGATTCAATCTGGCCTGTCTTGTAATGCAGATATTTCCTTGACTTTGATCTGGAAGGGAAAGTACTTCCTAGACTCTAATCTGGTTCTTCTCATAAATAAAAGTGCTTTTTTGACGTTGATCTAACTATTTTCTTGATTCAATCTAGCCTCTCGTGTAAGGAGAATACTTCCTTGATTTTGATCTGGTAAGGAGGATACTTCCTTGACTTTGATCTGGTAAGGAGGATACTTCCTTGACTTTGATCTGGTAAGGAGGATACTTCCTTGACTTTGATCTGGTAAGGAGGGACTTCCTTGACTTTGACTAGCTCTTCTGGAAAGAATGGTACTTGCTTCCTTGATTTCAGTCTGTCTCATCTCGTAAGGAGAGTACCTCCTAGACTTGAAATAAACATGCTTGCATCAAGAATTATAACAAACTTGTTGAAATTCTATTAAACAATAAAAAATAAATGATTTAAGGTTTCCTGAAACATTTGAAAAATAAATGTATTATAATATAATTTTATATATATTTTTTTACCGCTTTTCTTTTGTTAGGAATTATTTTTATTGCTCTGTTGTACCCCAGCAAAAAATATTTATAAAAGAAATAGTTTAAAACTTTCTTAAACAACAAAAAATCAATATTTTATGGTTCTATAAAATAATGGAAAAATAAGAAACATCTTGACTATTTAGTTGGAACAGGTCACAGCTAGTATATTTAGCTACCGCCCACACAAGGTTTGCATGTGGCACAAGGCCAGTTTAACGTAGGCTCGGCCAAAAATATTCCCTTTTGAACCTATATGAACAGGTTCAGGGAGAGTCCACCTCCCCAAACGAGACTGTCCTTTGGTGGAGCCTTGTCCGGGTTCCACTCTGCCTTCAGGCAGAGAGTTTGACTGTTTAGCTGGAACAGGTCGCAGCTAGACTCTGTAGTCCATTAATTTAACAGATACTTATAGGTAGTTACTACCTATAGTGTAGTCACTCATGGGGGTGACAGGTTATTCCATTGCATCAAAAACAATGGAAAATTTTTTAAGGTTCTATAAAACAATCGTCAAATAAATGTTTTATTGCTTTTGTACTGATATGCAAAATAAAAGGCATAAACCTAATATCCCCTTTACCTTGTCCCATTGCTAGTCACCTAAACATCTAGAGGATGAAAAAACTAAGAAATACAGATAAGACTTTTATGCCTACTCCCATTATGAGTTGTAGAGAAACTGGTCAAAAATTAATAATAATGGTTGAATAATGAATGGTACCAGGATTGAACTCAGGGACTAAAGTTAACAAAATTATGTGTAATAACCCAATTACTAATGAAAATGAACAATTCTAGGTTAATAAAAAAACAGCAGGTATTCATTTGGGAGCTGGATTTGAGTCTGATTGAATCTATGCTAGTAAAATTTAACAATAATGACAGTGTTCCATTGAATGATTAAGACTATTATATCTACTACTATTACAAGATGTAATGAACTAGTCAAAAATGAATTAAGGATATTGCTTTATCTAAGGATTTCATATAACTTAAAACTATTATGTCTGTTACAATTTGAGCAATAAAAGTGATGAAAGATATGTTAATTCAAAATTAATAATGAAAATACTTCATATAAAAAAGAATTTAGACAATGAATACTCATAATTGCTTATGTAAGGACTCCTCCTTATTTCACCCAATAACATCTTTATTTGGGCACCTGTTGAAGTATTTATCAGTTTATTTATTTATTTATTTTTCTTGCTTTTCCATTCATTTAGTCTGAACAAATAAAACATCAACTATGGTGGGGTGGAGGAGATAGGAAAGAAAAACAAAAATGTAGCATAATAAATACCCAAAGTAGAAAAATAAAATAATAAAAATCTGAGCGAGTGATAGTGGTGGGGTTTGGGGTGACTTTGGTTCCTCTGCCAATTTTTTTTTTTTTTTTTTTCTTGCCCAACCATAAATCTGTTTATCTTACTTATTGAAGCCAGTAATAATGTTTGCAGACCTGTCAGCTAAGCAGAAAGCATGATTTCTGAACAGAATCAAATGATATGTTCAAGGAACATTTGATGCAGTTAAAAAATTATGCCTTGTGCTTTTGAATTGAAAGATTACACCTTGTTTTGTTTATTTTTTAAATAAAGCCTCTTTGCTACTTCATTAATTTCTTTTCCATCTGATGTTGCCATACTGGGAAGAAAATGTTTCTCTGGGGAGTTGCATTCAAAGTACTGTAAAGTGACAATACTAATGTTAACAAACATTAATGGTTTATTTGGCAAAATTGCACAGTAAGTCACTCAGTTACTGTATATATACATATATATATATATATATATATATATATATATAGCCAAAGAATAATCTTTCTCTTGTCCATTTACAAACATTCTGTCTCTCCCTGGGTGCCTATTTCTATCACTTATACTTTCTTTCTTTTCAAACATGTTTCTTTTACTATCTCTCTCTCTCTTTCTCTCCAGATGCCTGTTTCTGTCAATTTACCTTTCTCTCTTTTTGAACGTATTTCTTTTATCCTTTTTCTCCCTTTCTATCTTTTTTTTTTCTCAAATTTTTCTTCATTCTTTCTGCATGTTCTCTTTCTCCTCTGTCTCTCACTCTCTTTCTTTCTCCTTCACCCACTTTCTTTCCCTCTCTCTCACTCCCTCTCTCTCACTTTTTCTCTTACTCTCACTCTTTCTCACTGTCTGTTTCTATTACCTTCTCCCTTTTCAAATACTTCTATTCTCTCTCACCATGTCAAGCTTATTTCTGCTAATCTGTGTTTCTGCATTTGAATGTAAATTTTATGTAATTTTCTTTATATAGATGTCTCTCTCTCTCTCACACTCTCTTACTCTCACTATACAAACCACTGCCTGTCACCTTCTCTATCACTCTTTTCCCCTCTCTTTGTTCAAATCTCTGCCTGTTACTCTTTCTCATGCAAATGCTCATCTGTCTCTTTCTATCTGAATACTCATTTCCATTTGTTTTTGCACCTCTCCTCACCATTCTGTTAAACTGTCATAAATATAGTATTTGTAAATGGAAAATTCATCATTTGATATCCCTGAATTCAAAATAATAAAAAAAAAAATTGTTTTCCTGTTTTTACAAGTTTTTTTTTTCAATGTGTACGAGATTTTGTGCTAAGGTTTTGTTCTTTGTAAAAACTTGTTAAGATGAAAAAAAAAAAATTCCTCCTCGTGTATGTGGGTAAAAAAGGCAAGGGAGGTACAAAGTGGAAATTGTAAGTGTCACGTAGTTTGGGAGGAAGACGGGGTAATGAGTAAGGTCACTCTTTAAACCCCTGCGCGTCGTATGTCGCCGTATGTTGCGTTCCTTCTCCTTATCGCTTTTGTCTGTCTAGGGACTTGGCTTAAAAAATCTTCTTGGATCACCAGGCATGTTTTTTTTTTTATGTCGTTGGAACGCAACTCATTGTTTTTTTTTTTTATTAAATATTTATATTCAAATACCTTTATTTTATTAACCGAAGTATGCCACTCTGAAAACCATTTATTATCATTTGGTGATTGATTGTCTTGGTGTTCATTTCGTCTTCTCTAAAAAAGTTCTATATTTTTACTTATATCTGTACATTTCTTTATAATATTTTCTCCATTCATTTGCTCGAACTTGTTTTTGTTTGTTTTTTGTCTGCTCTTACCTCCGCAGGTACTCAGTAAGTTCAAATTACTCCCAGACTTCTGTCCTCAAACCAAGTTTTAAGAAAATTTCTTTAAAAGGATATATAAAATTATTTGTAATCTTTATTCTCTGTGTATGTTCCTCATATGTATCCATAAATTTTCAACTTTCGTCAGCAGAACCCCATCTTTGTTATCTCAAGATATGTTTTACCATTTGTAACTAAATGTCCAATATTCACTGGTATATAAGTGTACTAGCAGCATGGCCCAGCGTTGCCCACCATTCATTCAAAAATCGTACGACTCATACAGCAATCGCTATCACTTGATTCTTAAAATATTTTTGCCTTCCTTGCCTTTAAAAGAGTGCCCTTTGCCGTGCTGATGTTGCTACATGCCTTACTTCTTGCCTATCTCACACTGCGATTTTTTTCTAAGCTCTATACTAAACATTAAATCTGTTACGAAAAAAGAACTAAACAAAATGAACACAAAACGATCAGCTTTAAAAAAGGACTCGTAACTGGAAAAACCGAATGAAAAAAACCATGTTAACAACAAATATGTTTTCACACCCAACCCAGTTCTGCGGAATCAGAATCAACGTTGAGTTTAAGCAAGCGAATGAGCCAATTGGAGTAAAGTGCCATGCAGATTTAAATTTTTCCCACTTGTGACGAATGCAGCTATCGATTTTTTTTTAATGCTAGTTAACATTCGTGTCAGTCAGCTGTTGGCTCTCACGCTGGCCAATAGAATCTTCCTGCCTATTCGTGGCAGCCAGCTATTACTCAGGTTGGCCAGTGAAAATGGCCAAAACTACAAAAAACTGCCGTAGAAGCATGAAAAAAAAATCGCTTATTTCGTATATTGAAAGGTTTGGGTCTTCCCTTTCCGCTAACTTGGTGCATGTGCATGTAAATTTTGGTGCAAATCCATCGAAAATTGCGGCCGTGCATTCGTTAACACACACACACACACACACACACACACACACACACACACACCTCCTTTTAACATAGAAAGAGATAAACACTACATTGAATTTTTGAAATTTTTCGTTTAAATTCTCAGAAAATATTGAAAAATTCTTGATAAAATTCAAAGAAGGGTCTGTAATAAAATCGATCCTGGGCTGACATCCCGACCTTCAGTCACGTTTACTGACATGACATCGCTTCCCTGGTTTTATATACAGATTTTTCATGGCAACTGTTATAAAGATCATTTTTTTCTACCCTCAACAGCTGACTTTAAGTGTGCCACTAGATTGGCAATTAGGTCTCACCGTTTTAATGTTGAATTAGATGTAATGTATGTTCTATACTAAAAAATTTTTCTAGCATTAAACCTGTGGAAATTTTTCAGTTTTTGCTTCTCTGCCACCCTAAAATCTTCAAATATTTAAATAAAACGCCAATTGTCATCTATATTCCAGAAACCTATTCTTTATTGTCCTTTCTTCTCTTATTTGGTCATTCTGTTAATTTTTCTGCTAATATAACTCCTTGTTTCATAGTATCATTATACATCCATTCCGTGAATGTTGTCAATATCTCAGAAAATTTAAAAAGGAAAGACGTTAAGGTAATTGAACAAATTTTCAGACTATACTTCCAATTTAACAAATGTGACACTTGCTTACAAATACTGAAAAAAATCTTAAAATTCAGGGAACCCATTTGATATAACAGTCCTTATATAAATGATTGAGATAATAAATATATTGTAGTTGGTATTGTTGGCTAGTATGCAAGGCATATCAAGAAAGAGAATAACTTAATATATATGTATATGAATTCAGGCTAATGCATAGACTGCAGCAAAAGCATTTTTCAAGCGGCAGTGAACCGATCCCTTATAATTTCCACAAATTATACAAAATCAATTCTATAATTTTCATTTTGAAAAATTTATAATCAGGCTATCAACGTTCTTAGATTTATAAAAGTTTCATTGAACCTTTTCTATTGATTTTTAAATCTCACAAAGACCCCGTCTCATATTCCTGGAAAACATATTTACAAAAAAAAGCAGAATGACCTAAAATTCTTTTGCAATACTGTCGACTTGCTTTTCTTGTCCACAATCATAGTAGTCGGCTATTGAATTTAAAATTTTTGTTTTTCATATCAGTATGTATCTGTTTAATTAGTTGACAAAAGTGATAGGTCCACGAAATTCTGCTAAATGATACACGATGGTCAATGGTATTTTCTATAGCACTGTCGACATTTTTTAATATTCATAGTATCTGCCTACACTGAATTCAAAAACATGCTTTTAGAATTACTAGAAATATTTTTTTGTTTATAACATTCTTAAATAATACAGTCAATGAAAGTCTACATGTCTAATCATGAGCTGTTCTAACCTTCGTATATTTTTTTTAATTTCTTAGCTGAAAATAAAAACAAAATTGTCCAACATTTTTGGATAATTTTTGTAAGCCAATCCTTAATCCAATTTTTTATCATACATGAAACCATCTTCATCAAAAAATGACATTTTCTTATGTTGACATAGAAGAAAATAAACGACGATAAAGGTAGCAGAATAACAGACACTAAACGAACTTGAAGATGCGGTTCTATGAAGGAAAATTTATTTTGTCGAATGAACCAAAAAAAAACAATAAAAATAAAAAAAACAAAATGTCAAAACACAACCTAGGCAGATAATGAAAACGTGTTTACAAGAAAAATAGTCCAATAATTAATACACATGAGAAAACCATATACATAAGTCAACGCAACGAACAGATTTTTTATATTAGACATAAGAACAAATTTAAAATATATATAACTTTCTTTTTTTGCTGGGTATAAATACTGAAGATTTGAGATTTGTTCGTTTTGATTCCAGTATATATATTTCGGTATATATGTGTGAACATGTATGTATGTATGTATGTATGTATGTATATATGTATGTTAAATATTAAATATTGTGAGTTGATATTGGTACATTTTTGTATTTTTTAATTGTTTTTTTGTAGTTGGATCATCAATTTACTGTCTTTCGCCGAATTATACAAATAAAATAATTCTAAATTAATATCCGTATATCATCTTATTGAGATGATGTTTAGTTGTCTTAATTTTACTTTTTTATTTATCTGTATTTAAAAATATTCAGATTATGTTTGATATTGATTATCAAATTGAAAATTTTTTTATTTATTATTTATATTAAGGGCTCTTTCATTAAACTATCTAAAGAAAATGAACACTTTTAAGGAAAAAAAATGGTAAATATTTTTTGTTGGCTTACTATTAATTTTTTCATTTTCTTTTTTATGCTTTCCATATAATTCTATATAAATGTAAAAAAAATTTTGATATGTATATTTTCTTTATTCACCTAAAATCTTTCTCTCTTGCTTTTTCCTTCCCCCAGTAAATCCAGTATATCAGTGTAAAATTTTTATTTACAAGAAATTTCAATCTGAAAAGAAAAATATAGATATTCACGAAATAAATTATAATCGAAATGAATCTTTATAGGTTCCTTCTTGATTATTTATTATTAAACTTTAATATAATGGTCTGTAATTTACATTGACCTAGTTATTTTTTTTGAATGTCTTGTGTGAAAATAAAAATTTTTCGAAAAATTGTAAATCTCTTATCTTATTTTTATCCATCGAATTTAGGGCAAATATTACCAAATTAAATTATGGATCTGATCCACTTGATGATGATATTATTTTAACATAGTCATATGTATTTTTATATAAAAAGTTAAAATTACTTCAACATAGAAATAGTCTATTTAAACTTGAATATATATGGCAGGTATTTTTCGTTTTTGATGTAATATATGGATTTATATATATATATATATATATATTATTCAAAATTTTAAGAAATATGTTAGACATATACCTCCCAGAAATACTCAAAATACCTCCCACATAATATGTTAAGTAACGACTTAACACTGTCTTTTGTAATATATATATATATATATATATATATATATATATATATATATATATAATGGACTCTCCCATCGGTTTCGACGTATGAGGATCTGACAGCTTATTGATTCAGTTATGAAAGTTTGTGCGATAATCTTAAGTGGCGTTTAAGACCCGCTAGTGATTTACAAAGGAGGCCACATATGAAGCAAGTGTGAGGATTGTGAGATGAGATCACTGTTAGATTGGCTGACCTTTTAGATCTTGCTCTCGCTTCTTGAAGATGATTCAGACAAGCAGATTGAAAACTGCTGAGTCCACTAAAACACGTTGATCTCCATTCTACCCGCTCCAAAGCTAAGCGCTCAAGGGTGTTATGTGGTATATTGACTGCTGACAAGTTGCTTTTCAGCTTGTCTTTGTATCTTAGCCATGGGCGT